AACAGTCTCTCTACCCTTCGGGGTAGAGGTAAGGTCTGCATACATATTACCCTCCCCAGACCCTATTTGTGGGATTTTACTGGGTCGTTGTTGTTGTTGTTGTTGGAGTATGAAGTAGAGCACCGAGGATTGATAAAGATTGTATGAAGTTGCAAGACACTAATGGTCCAGAAAAAGGACGGGAAAATAGCACAGATATCCAACAACTTTAAGAAGCAGACAAGAGGAATAGAGATGTAAGGACATGTATAAGAGGATACCTAAGCCAAGGAAGTAGCTTAATTTTTTTATTTTTTTATTCCCTGTTTATTGGCATCCACTGATACAATGTGTGTTCAACAATAAATTATAGTTTTTTGTCTTATTGGAAATTCTCATTCACCCATCATTAAGCCTAATTTGTCTTATTTTCTAGTGATATGTCCATGTCTTATTATCAACATATGTTATCTTCACCTATACTTTCTTATTATTCTCCACTTTTATGCAATTTTATTGGAATATCCTTTAAGTTTGTATCTTATTAAGATATTTTATCCAAAAGTACAAGTGACGGATAGATCTTTCCATCTTGCATACTTGACTGATTGATTCACTTGGTTACTTCTTGATAATTGGTTTGTGCTCCTGTTAGTTCAGTAACGNTCATGTTAGTTCAGTAACTAATGCATATGGATTATCAGGTTTGTATATTTATCAATGGAAAATATTATTGCATTCATAAATACACTTTGTTTTAACATAGATATAGCATGTATTAAAACATTCTTCCATGATGATTACTTTCAACTTTTACAAATTAAAACTATTACAGGAACCTAGAAAAAGGATTATTTTCAAGGTCATGAAAGAGTACTCAAAGGTCCTCCTCCATCACTTCAAGTGGCAAAGGCCGTGAACTATTTAACTTGGTACCCTTTTTTTATCCATCAAGGCCTCTACATGCTGCTCTTTACTTCCTTTTTTGGGTGTAAGTTATTTTTTTCATATTTATGTTTATCATTGTGATTATTGATGGTAAGGCCCAGCTCTCTTTGCATTCAGTTTTTTAAATTAATTGGTGTGTTTGCTTTTGTGCTTTTAATTTATTTCATCACTTTCAAGCTGTAGTTACAAGTTCAAAGATCAGTTGATATTTTTTTAATATTCTGGAACATATGATGACTAATAGCTTGTTTGGCCAACTACAAAAATCAGCTTATTTTGAGAAGTGTTTTTCTCAAAAGTGCTTTTTTCAAAAGTACTTTTTGGTGAGAATTAGTTTGTGTTTGGCTAATTAATTTGAAAAGTACTTCTGAGCAGCATTTAGTGTTTGGCCAAGCTTTTAAAAAACCGCTTCTAAGTGTATTTTTCTTAAAAGTGCTTTTCAAAAAAGTGCTTTTGGAGAGAAGCTACTTTTTTCTGCTTCTCCAAAACTGCTTCTGCTTCTTCCCAAAAGCACTTTTCTTTCTTCTAAAAGCTTGGTCAAACACTTTTAACTTTGAAAAAAAAGTACTCCTTTTAAAAAAAAAAGTGCTTTTGACTTTGGAGAAGCACAGGCGATAAGTCTAGCATTCAAAAACTTTCCTCGTATTTAGAAAAGGTAGTATTGTAATGCATGAAATAACTGGTGATCGAGGATGTTTTATATTCATACTTTGAAAGCTCTAGCTTTGATATTGCCTATTATTTGTGACTACAAGAGTTGCTTTAATTTTTATTTGGCTGAATAGGTAGGGTGATTTATGATACAATAACATGTAGTAGTATGTACACTTTCGGAAATAAGTACTTCGTAAAATTGTAATATTGTTAGGTATTGAGTTTTATTTGTGAATTGAAGTGTATAACTCTTTCGCACACTGTATTAATACCATGAGATATTTTTCCGTTCTATGAGTTTATCTACTAAGATTAAGGACAAATAAAATAAGAAATCAAGGATTAGTTTACATAAATATTGTAGTGTATTTGGTAACCGTGACATGGTATAACTTTTTTTGTTTCCCTTATTATAAGTCTTTGCAAATTAAATATAATGTACTACAAATGTATTTATAAAAAAGTGCAATTTATGCAAAAAGGGTGACAGGAACAAACCAAAATTTTGAGGAAAAAAACATATTACCTAGGCTGAGTGCCATTTCAAACATAAGGTGCTCTTGCAGATAAAATAACACAAAAACGTCATTACTGTTACTTGGTTGATCAACCATCAGAAGTTTGTTGATTGACCGCTGTTTGGGAAGTTCTAGAATAAGTACCATCTTGAGCTAACTATCTTGAACACAATTTTATGTTTGATTATATCTTCTTCAGTATTTCGTGAACTCTAAATTATTTTCATTGTTGACTCTGGTAGAAATTGATTATTCATCAATGGGAGATTTAAAAGAACCCCATGACTGAGGTATATGTATTAGATCTTGAGAACTACCAGCTTACTCAACATATTTAGATATAAAGAACGTGTTTTATTGTAATTGTCTTGAAGAGTTTGTACTTGAATTAAACCATCTACTTAGTTTCTTTTCGATATTTGACTTATGGAACTTCAGTTTGATACTTTATGTGATAAATACAGTCAATAAATCAATCTATCTATGTCTTGAAACAGAGAAGAAACTTTCCAATTAAGGTTTGTGAAGAAAATGAGAAAAGCAAAGTGGATCACTTTTTTATATCTTCCTTTTCGTGTAATAGAAAATTTTATTATTGACAAAGACCACACTAAGATAATGCTGAGATGACATAAAAGAAATACTAATATCAGTCCATATTTATTCTTGCAGTGATGACAAAAAATATATCAATGTATTTACTTCATATCTTTATATATTCTTTATAAGAAATGAACTTTTTGTGTCATTTAATAGTCATATGATATTAATGTATCTTTTTCTTTTATATGAGGGCAAGTAAAATGTATTGACCAACTTTTCTGGACATCATTTGCATTTTATATAAGTTGTCAACATTAGCTTATCAAAGAAAACATAAGGCTTAGCATTTTTTCGATTTTTTCGTTAATTATTAGGTGGTTAAATCTTAATGATAGGAAGATCCTATACTGTTTTGATAAAATATTATATTTGATGTATCTTTAGATTGTAGTAAGAATGTCTTGCTATAAAAGGCTATAACTTGACTCTTGAGTATAGTATTTTTGAGTAGTTTATTTGTGGAGATCGCACACATCTCTTTATGTCGTGATATTTTTCAATTCTTTCTATCATTTAATGTTTTCTATCTCTAAATATTTGACTTCTTATTCTCTACTTGGAACAGGACAAGAAGTTGTTTGAAGAACACATAGTAGCAGATGTATGAATGCAATACACAAAATATTTGCCATATTCTATGTGGCTCTTAGTTGGATTATGTTATCTCTTTTGTTTATAGTACAAACACGGATAGCAACTGATATATTTAGTTGATCACGTAGCATAAGATAGTGGGTAGAAAACGATGAAGAAATAAGGCGTATACTTGAGTTTGATTTTGTAAGTATATTTAAAGGAAGTGGAAGAAAAGGAAATATTTGCTCAATTTTGATAACTCTAGGGAAGCAATATATATTGTTCTATATTTGTCACTATTTTCCAAGGGGCATCCCTTCTCTAAAGCAGGTAAAATAACTTTTTAGGCCCCATATTTATGAGGGTCTTATTTTTTATTACACCTAAAAACGTTGTGAATGAAAATGTTTGATTCTTTCTTTAACAAATATAGAGAAGAAGGATTAGCAATTGCTATAATTTATGTCAACGAAATTGCATTTGAAATGAATATCGAACGCAAATTTCGTAAACGTGTGATATGTAGGAAGAAATAATTTGATGAAAATGTTGATAATAAATTTTTAAAATCTCTCGAAGAGTCCTTTAGAGTTGATTACTTTTTATACATAGTAGATTAGGCTATTTTTTTATTTCACAACAAATTTGAACAATTGCATATAAAAATATTTTTGGTTTTCTATTTAGCAGTAAAAAATTGAGATCACTAGATGATAGAAATTTGAAAAAATATTGTCTTAATCTTGAATGTTCCTTAAAGCATAATAATCAATCCGATATTTATAGTTTAGATTTATTTTATAAATTAAAAGTGTTAAGAAAAATAGTACAATTAGAAGATAATAGTTTAATTGATATGCTCAATTAAATAAAAAGATTTGATTCATTTTCAAATGTTTATATTGCTTATAAAATTACGTTAATTGCTTTTGTTACTGTTGCTTCAACCGAAAGAAGTTTTTCAAAATTAAAAATTATTCTTACCTAAGATCAACAATGTCTCAAGAGAGGTTAAATGAATTAGCTATATTGTCAATTGAGAAACACTATTTAGAAGAAATTGATTATAAGAATATTATTAATAACTTTGCATCTCGAAAAATAGAGTTCACATAAAAAAAAAATTAAAAAAAGTTAAGGCTATCATAAAGTTTGGCTTTAAGCCACAAAAATTATCGGGCTGCCTTGATTCTAAACCTTTATAGTTTTGTAGGTTCGCTATGTGAATGTGATATTAGACAAGAACAAAACGGCATCAGAATTCAAAATGTTGGGCCCGTGCTATGCATGGGCAACACTTATCTAGTATATATATATATATATATATATATATATATATATTCCATAGTGAAAGTGGGAGCGGATCGCTGAGGATTTCGTAGTTGGACTCCCACGGACTTTAAGAAAGTTTGATGCTATTTAGGTGATTGTAGATCAGCTGACCAAGTCCGCGCACTTCATTCCTCTGTGTACTACCTATTCTTCGGAGCAGTTAGTTGAGATTTATATCAGAGAGATTGTTCACCTTCATGGTGTCCCAGTTTCCATTATTTCAGATAGAGGTACTCAGTTTACATCACAGTTTTGGAGAGCCGTGCAACGAGAGTTGGGTACTCAGGTTGAGTTGAGCACAGCTTTTCACCCTCAGACAGACGGACAGTCCGAGCACACTATTCAGATATTGGAGGACATGTTACGCGCTTGTGTCATTGATTTTGGGGGTTCATGGGACCAGTTTCTTCCATTCGCGGAGTTTGCTTAGAACAATAGTTATCAGTCGAGTATTCAGATGGCTTCATATTAGGCTTTATATGGGAGACGGTGTAGATCTCCAATAGGTTGATTTGAGTCAGGCGAGGCTAGGCTTTTGGGTACAGACTTGGTACAGGATACTTTGGACAAGGTGAAAGTGATTCAGGAGCGGCTTCGTCCAGCACACTCAAGATAAAAGAGTTATGCTGACAGAAAAGTTTGTGATGTGTCTTATATGGTTGGGGAGAAAGTTTTGGTGAAGGTTTCACCCATGAAGATTGTTATGAGATTTGGGAAGATGGGCAAGTTGAGCCCTCGGTTCATTAGACCTTTTGAGGTGCTTCGGAGGATCGGGGAGGTGGCGTATGAGCTTGCTTTGCCACCTAGCTTGTCGAGTGTGCATCTAGTATTTCATCTTTCTATGCTCCGAAAGTATATCGGCGATCCATCTCATGTCTTGGATTTCAGTACGGTTCAGTTAGATGGTGATTTGACTTATGATGTGGAGCTAGTGGCTATTCTGGAGCGGCATATCCGAAAGTTGAGATCAAAAGATATAGCTTCAGTGAAAGTGCGGTGGAGAGGTCGGCCCATGGAGGATGCTACTTGGGAGACCGAGCAGGAGATGCGGAGCAAATATCCATACCTATTTGAGGCTTCAGGTATGTTTCTAAACTCATTCAAGGACGAACATTTGTTTAACAGGGGGAGAATGTAACGACCCGACCGGTTGTTTCATGAGTTATAGCCTTGTTTCCCCCATTTCTGCTTCATTTTGTGTTCTTCAGCCGTGTTTTGTCGTATCCTGTTAGTTGGTTCGGGTCTAGAGTAGTTTTGGAGTGGAATGAGACACTTAGTCTCCTATTTAGAAGTTTAAGTTGGAAAAGTCAACTATATGTTGACTTATGTGTAAACTATCTTAGATGTGAATTTTGATGGTTCTGTTAGCTCTGTTAGGTGATTTTGGACTTGGGAGCACGTCCAGAATGTGATTTGGAGGTTCGTGGTATAATTAGGCATGAATTGGCGATTTTGGTCGATAGTGAAAATTTTAATATCGGGGTCGGAATGGAATTTCAAAAGTTGGAGTAGGTTTGTAGAATCATTTTTGAGGTGTGTGCAACATTTCAGGTCATTCGGAGGTGATTTGATAGGTTTCGGCGTCGTTTCCGGAATTTGAAAGTTTAGAGGTTCTTAGGCTTGAATCTGGGGGTAATTTGGTGTTTTGATGTTGTTTTGAGTGTTCTGAAGGTTCGACTAAGTTCGTATGTTGATATGTGACTTGTTGGTATTATTGGTTGAGGTCCCGAGGCCTCGGGTGTGTTTTAGATGGTTGACGGATTGGTTTTTGGTGTTTGAGAGTTGATGAAAACTGCTTGTGTGATTCTGATGGTGTTTCCGCACCTGCGGAGTAGGAACCGCAGGTGCGAGGTCCACAGAAGCGGAAAAAGGATCGCAGATACGGGCAGAAGTGGTGTGGGATGGATGCGCAGGTGCGAGTATTGGAGCACACCTACGAGACCGCAGGTGCGAGATGTGGGCCGCAGATGCAGATTCTGTGGAGTAAGTGAATCCGCACCTACGATTGTTTTTTCGCAGGTGTGCCGTCACAGAAGCGGTATTTTGACCGTAGATGCGGTTTTGCTAGGCAAAAAACATAAATTGAACCTTTCGCAAATTTTGCTCATTTTCACCATTTTTAAAAACGGGTTTGGAGCTTTTAGGTTATTTTAAAGAGGGATTCAAGGGATTAACAGTGAGGTAAGTTTCTTGAGCCCTAATACTCGTATATGTGGTGATTTCCCATTGTTTAATCATGCAATTAGTGAAGAATAGGGGTGAAAATGGGGGGTTAGGACTTGGGAGTTGGAGAGTTTGATTTGAGGATTTGAGGGACCACTTGATGTCGGATTTTGATGAATTTGGTATGGTAGACTCGTTAGTTTTGTGACTTTTGTCGGATTTCGAGACGTAGGCCCGGAGCCGGGTTTGATTGAATTTCGGGATTTATGTCTAATTTGATAGTTTTTCTTGAGGAATTCATTCCATTAGATCATATTGATGGTATTGTTCTTGTTGTGAATAGATTCGGAGAGATTGGAGGCCGAGTCGAGGGGCAAGAGCATCACAGAGTAGAGATTTGACCGGTTTGAGGTAAGTAACAATTGTAAATCTAGTCTTGAGGGTATGAAACCTCGAATTTTGTATCGTTTTACTATTTTGAGGTGGTGCGCATGCTAGGTGACGGGCGTGCGGGCATGCACCATTGAGGATTGTGACATGGTCCATCCCGTAGCAACTAAAAATTGCGTATTTTGTTGAAACTATATGATACTTATGTGTTTTAGAAAGAGTTTCTGTATATTGGGCTGAATGCCATGTTTAGGCCTTGTACTAGAGTTGTTTTGACCATTAGGGGCCTTTTTGTTTTTACTATCCTCTCACTGTTTTTGATTGAAAGTCTATACTTAGTCATGTTATACTTATTGATTTCATGACTCAGTCTTTATTACTTTGTTTTGATGCATATAAATATTGTTTTGGGTTGAGTACCCTATTTTTACTGAGAGCCCGAGTGGCTTGAGAGGTTTATGACTGAGTGAGGCCAAGGGCTTGATTTGTGAGGATATTTATGGCATCGGGCTGCACGCCGCAATATGTTTTACTGATTCATGATTGAGTGAGGTCGAGGGCCTGATTGATTTATGCCACGAGTTGGTTTGTTATAGCGCTTTGGCTTAAAGAACCTCTCCGGAATCTGCACACCCCTAGTGAGCGCAGGTACTTACTAAGTGCGAATGCCGAGTGCTGAGTGACTGGGAGGCATGAGTGATGGTGAGGTATGCCCGAGGGGCTGTATATGAGTGAATGTGAGGTTTTCTCGAGGGGCTGTATATGAGTGATATTTTGCTCGAGGGGTTGTTTATGATTTCATCATTTTTGCTCACTGTTGCATTGAGCCTCTATTTGAGAACTATTGAAAAATATCTTCAAATGATTTTACTGGAACTGCGTTAAACGAAATGATTTGATTCAAACTCTGCTTTTAAAAGCTTGTTGTATTTTTACTGAGATTTCATGATATGAACTTTATATGCTTTGTTGCTCGTCACTACTTCTCAGCCTTTATTTACTTTGGTTACTTACTGAGTTGGCGTACTCACATTACTCCATGCACCTTGTGTGCAGATCCAGGTGTATCAGGACCCAGTAGCGACTGTTGACTATTCCAGCTATAGATCTTCTCGGAGTTAGCAAGATAGCTGCTGGCAATCGCAGCTCTGCCCTTCTCCCTCCTATCTTCCTATAGTTGTTTGTAGTTACATTTCCAGACTATGTTAGTCTCAGTATTTTCAGACAAATTGTAGTAGATGCTCATGACTAGCGACACCCCGATGTCGGGCTTTTTTTCGCACTTTTATTATTCAGATTTTCTTTAAGAAGTTTATTATTAAATAGCTTGAATTTATCTTTGAAAATGAAATATCGTGTTCTTTTTGG